TAGAAGAGGAATCATAAACTCTGACTTAAATCTAAGATGATGAGTGCTGAATTTTTTTTAAGTCTCCATCTCAATTTTACTGTTTTTATACAGTTTTTTTTGTTGTTGTTGTTGTTGTTTTTTTTTGACTGCAAATATAACCACATTTTTTAAATGTTATTTTAAAATATGAAATCTGATGTTAGGGTTTTTGGAAAATTTCTTTTCTTATGCTAATCAAGTAATGGATGCTAAAGTTAATGATTCTTGTTGCAGTTTGAGTCTGTTTTCACTGCAACTGTGAAACATGGGCTCCCCCCTGTGGCAACAGCAGGTCACTGCAAGATAGAGGAAAACAAAAAAATGATAAAAAAATAAAAATAAAAAAGGAAAACAAAATATTTAACCCTAACCCTAACCAACAAGTACAACTGTGAATGAAATAAGAAACTGAATTTATCGCTCTTAAAAAAAAAAGATAACTAAAAAAGACATTCCAACCCTGACATAAAATAAAAATAAACAAGAAACCATGTGCGTTTCATACATGATTATGATGATCCCACAATATCTTAAACTTGAGGAAAAAAAACACAATCTAATGTTACTATGAATGTAACTAAAAAATGTAGTAGAAAATAAATGTAACTGTTTTTGTTTAACAAAACATAAAACACCATTGGTCTAATTCCATCTTTCCCATTTACTTAATATTTTTAAAGTCCAACTTTAAAAAAATAAAAACATAAAAAATAAAAAAATATATTTGGAACAGATGCACATCTGCGTTTGAAATAGATTTCAGACATTTTGGTAAACCAGTATGGCTTAAAAAGTAGCTTGTTGCTCTGCCACATTTATTTTAAACAATGTTGTAATACTTATCTGATCTTTATGCTGTTATCTATGATTATTTTAAGTAAGGTATGTTTAATGCTCTAAAATAACCCGGACCTGTTCCACCATGTTGGTTTTAACCTGTTGTTTTCCTTGGTTCCAGTCTGCAATGGACATCCCCGGCCTGAACCTGAGCCAGCAGGAGTACTATCCCTACGTCTACTACAAGATCGACTGCAACCTGTTGGATTTTAAAGTTTAAACTGTTGTCCTCATGCTGAGTGTTTATTAAGTTATATTTTTCCTCGTTCCACCCTTCCCCTTCTTCTCTTGCTGCCCCTTCTTTCCTGGTCAGCTTCTGCAATGACTGTGCTGCATGATCATTCCCTGTGGTTAAAAAGATTCATAAAAAAGAAAAAAGAAAATGCTACCACTTTTAAAACCAAGAGATGAGAATGGACTTTTTTTATATATATATTTTGTTCTGTTTAAAGTTTTTTTTTTTTTTTTCCAACACAAGTGATTTAGTTTTTTTTTTCTGATGTGAAGTAAATGAGGGAATCATACTGGTGAGTTATACATTTACCGTCATTCCACACGTGCTGGTGTGTATTTATAGCTGCAACTGTGTCGGTGTTCAGAGATTTTTGTTTACATATGGGTAGTTTCATCATTGTACCCATGGCAACCACACCCGGTACGCATTGCGGAGTCTGTGGGCGACCCCCACAGATGACGTGAAGTCAAGTTATTAACTGAGCGTGTGTTGTTGTTTCTTGTGTGTATCTGCTGTCAAAAAGAGATCTATAGCCGAGTATTGTGAAATTATGAAATAAATGATTCTATGTAATTAAAACCAAGGATTTATGTGTAAATAAAACAGCTCAGGCCTGTATACTGGACTGTGATTTACTGAGTACTGTCTTAAACAATATTAGAATGAGGGGGGAATCAGCATCTGTTTATTTCTCTATAAAGCTGTGTGATGACTCATGTCCACAGCCGTGGGCT